AAGTAGCCTTTGTGCTTCATTTCATCTTGCTTTGGTAGTCAAAGAGAAAATGTATTGAAAAATAATTGGTTTTTGAGTGTTTGCGTGCAGAAAATATTGTAAATATTTACCCAGAATTTGAAAACCACATTTCTGTTGCCTGGGCCAGGCCAGTCAGCCCACCCAGAAATTTTGCCCATAGGCCCGAGGAAAGGTACAACCCACAGCAAGACAGTTTACCAGAACAAAATTTGGCGGCAAGGGAGACCATATTTGCACCTGACAAACAAACTAATTTCCCCAAAAATTTGATCGGGGACTTGCCCTGAAGCTAGACAAGGTCAACCTATATAGCCACGCTGCAATACGATTTCCCCATAAGTGAAGGAAAACACACTTCGGATACTTGAAACTAATCAACTTTGGTTTTTGCCAGAAGTTGCGTTAAGAAGTTAAGTTTTGACCTAGTTTAATAGAGCATATCGCAAGTCGACTCAGTGTTTTCTTGGCCTTTATTATAGCTAGATGTAGGTCACTATTATACATGTAGATTTTTTATAAAATTTCTGGGTAATTTTATGCTTATATGAACCGGTACATGTCCCTCTTTTTCAGTGGGGGGGGGGGGGGGTATAAAATGCAAATTAACAAGTTATGTCAAACTTTTACAAAGTCCTTTAAATGTGCATTAAGACATTTTAAAGTTTAAGAAATTTTAACATGTACAGAAAAACAGCAGGCTGTTATTTAAAATTTGCAATAAAATAACAAGATTCCAGGATAAAATCGAGTCCATGTATGTGCACCATTCATCCTTAGACAAACTGACTGATTGCCCAGCTATTTCCATCCTGAATTCCTGTGCAATTTTTCCCACGAAGCGGCCATTACCGAAATAGGTTCGTCTGATGTATCGTGTCTCAGACGGAAAACGCTGTTGGTATGAATGGGTCATCCGCCGGACGCCGGTAGCTCAGGAATTTTTTTCAAGAAAATGAATTACGGTACATGCTTTAAAAGAATGAAAGCATTTCTTTGGCAACTGTTTCTATGGATTGTCGCCGACGTCAAAGTGTGATTATGCGTTGGCGTTGCGTGGGGCTCGCGTATTAATGTCTGTCAAATGTGTATGTAGGTCATGTGAATGCATTGCCATCTTGCTGATGTGCTCTCTCGTGCAGTAATAGTGTTTCAAAATTGGAGATAGAGTCTGTTTCCAAATAAATTACATGTAGGACATTGTTCTGTAGGCAGACTTTAGAACTTTATTGTTATTTTACAATGTAAGAAGTAAACCGTCTGTTCATCTGATAGATTTTTTAGCGGAAAGCTGTTTGCTGAAAGTTAAATTTTGGATTTAAAAAAAAAATTATTTCAAGATCAAATTTGTGTTTTTTAAATGCCCCATTTCAAGTTCTTTTCTTTTCATTCACTAGGCGCACCAATAAATTCAGTGTCAGAAGGGTAATCTTTTATATTTTTTGTCGCTTTTGCGTAAAAATAAATTCATGTACATATAGGTTACTGGGACATCAGAGTTTAATACATGTAACTAGTGTTTTGTCCTCAATGATACCTTGGCCGAGATTGCCCTGACGACAACATAAATCCACGTTGAGTCTCCATATAACATCACAAGATTTGCTCATGTCACTGTCTTACGAATGTGCACTCTGAAGATTATTCTGTCAATTATTCTTTGATAAAATGAGGTCTCATCTTGTGAAGAAAGTATTCGCATATTGCTTGACCGAAATGAAGGAGAACATTTGGGATCAAGTGCTTCATCATTAAACCACATGGGCAGTGCTGGCTGTCTAGTCTGATACGAGTCGTCATTAATTCCATTTTGATTTCTCGCTTTATTTACCGACCCCCCTGGCTGCTCAGATCGGAAGTGTTTGCATTGCTGGAAATCCATCACACATGTTGTGGTGTTTTGTTTCTCCAAAACTTTCTTTGTCTCTCTCTGTACAGTACATTTGCCCAACAGTCTGCCAAGGCGGTTTGAGGATTTTTTTTTTATCAGACCCCTTTTTTTCTCTCTCTCTCTCTCTCTCTGGACAAATTTCAATCAATTTCAATTTGTATCACCCATGTCTGATGGCACTCAGGTTTACAGTGAAGATGACAACTTGAAATTCAATCCGTGGTGACCGGGGAATGGGAAACCAGGGGTTGTTGGACAATGGCTTGAGTCTGAGGCCTGGAGGGAAATGTGGCTCAGCTTCAGGGGCAATGCCCTGAAAAAACACAAGTTTGGTAGCTCTAATACATGTAAAACCATAAATCCGTGTTCTAGTTTCTTACTTTGAAAACAGATTTATAAAGTCTGATGTGCCCAGAGTAGACAGCTTTGACAAAGGGGAATATAGTTCCCTTTTAATTTGGAGGTTTCACTCCCACCTACTTTTTGGGGGTGTCTTTTTTTTATGAAATCTGAAATAATTGAAACATAAAGTCAAGCCTAACAGTGGTTGAGTGGCTGAAACATCTGCACTAGTAAGCTTGTCATGGGTTCAAGACCTACCCAAGCAAATGTTGTGATTTTTTTTATCTCACAAGATCTCCGATAGCACTGGTAATAAATACAAGGTACATTGTATTTGTATGTAGTGCACCATTTGTTTGTTGGACTATGGCAACTTTTTGTGTTTTAAGGAAACTTCCTTGCACAAAAATGCCAAAGAAATAAGGATTAGGTTAAGGTCTGGAGGTAGTCTAAAGGTATGAAGAAATTTCTTCACGATCATTTTTCACTTCCTGTCTTCGTGATTTTCATCAGATGATTATTTATTTAGAGCTGCCGGACTTGACGGATCTTTAATAGTTTGTCACTGCGAAGAGTCCTGCAGTATCAGATGGTGTTATGATGAACACTATATTTCACACCTCATTTATGCATGGAGATGATTGATACAGTAAACAGCGGTTGACAAGGCGGGCATGCAATGGGCGGTTTGCTTTAAAGGAACAGACAACCGTTTACCGTAAAGGGGACAAACCTCGATGCAGTGAAAAAATCAAGCAAACATGCGTGCTTTTGGACAGAAGTGTTGATGGTTCGGGACAAATTCACCAAAACAGTTTTTATACACTGAATTTGGAAATCTTGCCTAAAAGGTTGATGCTATGTGGGTCAGTTTCGTGGCATTTCATTTCACGTTAGAGCTTTACATTAAACAGTACACGTTCAAATGGCAAGGGCCAACATGTGTCTGTAAAAAGTGGCCGAATATAAAAGTCAGGTGAACTTCATTTAAGTCTACATTGAAAACAGAGAAACATGACTTTTACACTAAATATAAGTGGCCTGCAAGTGTATAATTATTTGGAAACAAAGTATCGTTTCGTTAATGGTCTTAGTGTTAAGGTGACCAATCCAAAGACTGACTTATATGTACTTTTAGCAAATATTTGTTTCTAAAAAAAAATCCCCCAAACAAACCCGAAGCTTACCAAAGTGTTTTGTGACAGACATAAAACATACATGTACAATTTTTGTAAGAACGACGTTTGAGTAAACTTGTGTTTAAACAGTACCATGAAGTTGTCCAGATTTTGACTGACGTCAAAAGTTAATTGGCCATTCACCACCCCTCCCATGTACTTCTTTGGTTAAGTGCCTTATAGCCATGTACCAAGCGGTGCATAGAACCAATTATACTCAGAAACTGCTTTTCGCAAGGAACACGAAGTGCCAGGACCCAGGATGTGTTGCTGTGGGCAGCAGATTGCCAGTAATCAAAATAAACACAATTTGGGGGTGACGACAGGAATGACGTGTATCACATGATCAGCCCTGACCTTGCGCGACCTGCCTTCGCAACTTTCTGCTTCTGCCTTTCGCAAGGCTGTTTGTATATTTTGGTATTTACGCAATGTGTCTGCCCACAGCTAGACAGAGAGGCAGCTTCACATTACTCAATGTTGGTCGGTCATTCAAAGGACCCTTCGCTTTTGGCGCAAAAACTGTGTCAGTTTTAGACCGTGTCAAAAATGGCTGCGTCCGTTATCAGCATGTTAACGCGTAGTTTCAATCGTGAAAGACCTAGACAATAGTTCTAGACCAGAGATTTTGACACGGCGTAATCGCGCATACATGTAACGTCTTTATGGAAACTAAAGATGGCGCAGCGCTTTCTAGCAAAGGGGAATTGAATTAATCTGGTCCATTTTTATTTTGTAATCGGTGCTAAGAAACCTGGGAAGACAATTTTTTTCTTATAGGCCAAAAAAAATAATAAGTCGGTCTCTGGTCAGCGCGCGAGTCGATTTTAATCATGCGCGTCGATCTTTTTTTTTCCAAAATGTTCCGTGGTAGCTCCAACAGCGCCCTCTATTTCCGCACCTCCTCAATTTTTTTTACCAAAGAGCACCAGGAATGGGAAATTGCACCAAGGCAAATGATCGAAAGCACCAAGGAAAATTATGGAGGACACCAATGTACATGAGGACACCAAAAAAGCAAAATAGTACCCACCATTGTCTGTACAATCCAAGCTTGAAAAAAAAAAAAAAAAAAAAAAGCCGCGTGGCCGCGTCAATTCCCGAACTTTGGTCTGACCAGAGACCAAATTTTTTTTTTTTGTGGCCTAACAGCTAGAGTTGACCCTCAGTATATTATAAATATTGAAAAGAGGGGTGGGAACCAGTCTGGATTTTACCTGGTCAGTAACTATTATCAAACCTGGTATACCAGGGAATCGGCCCACATTTTCCCACGTGTTTTTCAGTTACACCCGTACCCTTTAACTTGAGGGCAATAGGAACCTTATTCAATATTTAAAATTGGGACCAATGAAAAGTCAAGTGACTAGACTTCACAGTTCTGAATGAATATAACAAGATACCGGGGGGTAGGCTGCTAAATTTTGACAAAGTTGGAGCTATGGTAGGTATTGTTTCAAGAAGACAGTAAATTGTTGTGGATTTTGAAGGATTTGGTAGGATTGGGGTTGTGAACAGTTTTTGATTGATCTTATCTCTGAACGGTTTCATTTCATTCCATTTCGTTTCAGAAATTCTTGATGATTTGTCAAGGCATGTCGGCAAAACGGACTCCACCATAGTCCGAGAGACCAAGCATATACGAACCGTCACCCAGAAGGCCAAAGATTGCTGTAAGTATCGCCAATATAATGGCAACATTTTTTGGAATCCATTCAGTTGTTGTCAAGTCAACCACATCAAAATCTGAGTCGATTGCAAATCAGGGTCCTTCCAGTAAAATAGTCAGAGTCCATGTGTCTTTTTGTATGTGCATTATGCAAATTTTACTGATGCCCTACAAAGTTGGTTGCAAACATTTCAGTTTGAAAAGAGTGAGTGAATGTTCGGTTAAGTTAAGATAGAAGTTGAAGTACCATCACAAAATGTTTTTGTTCAATCTCCAAAATTGTGCAAAATCTGTGGACGAGTTGTTATTGAAAACTATTGACTGCTTTAAACTCATGATATAGTAAACTAGACTCTGCTTCCTGAGATTCGAATGAGGGAGCCTAGTTTTACTATACCCCTAGAAGCAGTCAATATATATTTAGAGACTCAGAAAAGGGCTTGTCTATAACATTCGGCAGATGGCATGAGGAGTTGCTAAGGGTGGATCAAGCAAAGTGTAAATCCCAGGAAATCACTCAAATTGGAGACGACACACCATGTCACCAATGTAAGGCCAACATTCTGTGAGAGTTCCTGTCTCCATTATTGCAGACCATTCAAGGAAACATCAATGAGTTTTGGTTTCGAGAGGAAGGCACCGCGAGCTGATTTTTGTTGACACAGTTCATCCCTCGGAAATTCAACTATTCACTGCTTCTCTTTCTACGGGCGGCTGTCTTCTTTTATCAATGACGTGGTTCTTATTTGTAGTGCCCCCAAGATCTGATGACTGTTGGCAGAAAAAAAACAACACATGTTCAAGAAATATGTTTGATAGAAGATAAACCAACCGAAACTGAGTCAATTCATAGAAAATAAACCAACCGAAACTGAGTCGATTCATTTTTAAGGTTGAACAAAGAAATTCATTGGAGTTGGAACAAACAGGATGAACACACACAAAAAATCAATAGAAAAACTATGTCTTTTCCGGATGCCTCGGGAAAACCAAAAATATTTTACTTGATGTGAAATTACCTGACCACAATTTAGGACAGCCTACTGGTACGTGTACGTATGACCTAGTTTATTAACTCAAAACAGAACTTCCTTGGAAAAACAAACTGCGGTGAGTTTTAGCAGATTGACTCACCTGCAAGTACTTTGGCTGTGGAAGGAACTGGGGGCGGGCCTAAGGAATATTTTAGATACTGTTTACATGTGCAGAATTGATCCCAATCAATCAATTTAATTTGGGTCTGAGAAACAGGGCCTAATCAGTTGTAATGATTAGCAGGAGTCGTCCAAATGACAAAGTCAGTTATCGTGATAGACATCAAGTGGTCATCATGCAGTGTTTGTCACCTACAGTTTTTCAGTCCTGTAATTTTGGTTAACTCTGTCAATTTTTTGTTATTGAATTTAAAAAAACAACTATTCACGTTAGCTTTTTCTGACATGTACATTTAAGTAAACAATATTGAATATAGTTTGTGGTGAAAACCTTATTTTTTTTCCTTTCATTAGAATTTGTCTGTAGTGCAGTGGTACTTGTATTACTTTGTATTACATTGTATTGATTCCCTGATAATCCGTAAAAAAAACTGTACACTGCTTCAAGGGCAGTTATGGGCAGTACAGCCATTTTCTGAGGTGGCACCAGGTTTGCATGAGCCACACTCGGGTACAATAGTACATACGCACTCCGGGCCCCTCGACCAATGTGTTCACAAAACATGCACGTCTCGTCTTTGAGATATGCATGCAGTATGCACACGGACATGGTGCTTCCGAAAAAACGGCTTCCAATTTCGTTCACCGGATAAGTCAATAGGGAGTAACAGGCAGGGTGGTTTTGGGTGGTACAGTAACTGGGTTAAGCAAAGAGTTGTGGTACAGTAACTGGGTTTAGCAAAGGGTTGTGGTACAGTAACTGGGTTTAGCAAAGAGTTGTGGTACAGTAACTGGGTTTAGCAAAGGGTTGTGGTACAGTAACTGGGTTTAGCAAAGAGTTGTGGTACAGTAACTGGGTTTAGCAAAGAGTTGTGGTACAATAACTGGCTTTAGCAAAGGGTTAACACTAAGTATCTCAAAATTGTGTCAGGATTTTGCTGGATTCCCGGTAGCCGAGGGTTGAAAAGTAAAGATTGCATCTGTCACTCTCTGTACACAGTGCAAGATTTCCTTGGACGTGTAATTCGTCATTCCCAAATGAAAAACAGGTGTCTTTCTTATCCCTTAAAGTCCTGTCACTGGAAAATGCTATTAAGTGGCTTATTGGAAGGGAGAGTCCAAATCTGCTGTGTCTGTTGGAATACTGTTGACGTTTTAACTGCGGTTCTTATGGCTTGATCTCTAAGCTATATTTTTAAGCGAATTTGGGGTTCTGTAAAGCTGCCGTTTTGGGGTATACATATATGTGAATCCAAAGTTAATACCGCAAGTTTACGTGTCGCTGCAATTAAAAAATTAAACTTTACTATCTTTTATTTTCAGATTGCATTACAGTTACTGAATTGGGTCAATAAATGTGCTTCTTCCAACTGGTTGTACCTAAAAATTGCATTGTTACAGCCCCTTATTTTCTCAAAAATATGACCTATTACTATTTTCCCAACAGGACAGAACTCACTTCCCCTGTACATTTCCCAACATGGCAAGAGCTGAAGGTTTGACTGTTATTTCTTGTGGTTTTGTTTTTATTACAGCGTTCTACATTATCATCATTCTACTCCTGGTCGCTATCGTCATCATCGCAGTCATCCCTAGGCCAAAGTAAACCTCCTACCTTGCCTGCCGAAGAAGATGAACTGCTGTTGCCATGACGACCTTCCTGCATCGATACCGTGGCAACCACTGAGGTGCATGTATTCAGGTGGGATCAAATTCAGCAAGGGTGGATCAAGAATACTGGGACATATTTAACAAATTATAACACGGTTTGGGGGGACATAGTTCAATACTAGTGGCCCTAGGGGTATTGGCTGATTTTGATTTGCAGATGCAAAGCGTCTCATGTCAAGTCTTAATGTTTTTTAACCTCTACATCAGTTTTGCACAGAATGTGGATAATGTATAGAGTTAACAGTGTATTCATCCTACATGAAGTATGGTCCTACTAACAACCTGACTTGTGATTGCTACCGTTGCATGGTTAGGAGTCCAGAAGCTAGCCTGTCCGTTTATTAGCTACTGGCCAGGAGTAAGGGAGTGTGCATTAAATCCCAAAGTTACTTTCCTTCCACGACATTTCCTCAAACTTTGACCTTTGAAAGTGGAGTGTTTGGTCAACAACAAGAATATGACATTTGGTTCAGCTTATCTGCTGTCGGCATGTTTGGGCCCCTCTCGTACTGCTTTTGAGGACATAATACTGTATACATTTATAGCGCAACAATATTTTCTAAAGGTAGGTCTTCAATGATGGTACGGTACCTGTACTTCATTCCCTGACAGCCATTATTTTCCATGATAAATTGGTCCCTATTGTGAAACAGCGCCCTCAACAGCTCAGTGCAAATTGGATAAACTTGATCAACAGAAAAGGTCGGATCCTGTATTTTGTAGTGTTAGGATTGACACTTTCAGATGCTGAAGAAAGTATCACCATAAATCTATCTTTTGAATTTGACCTGCAGATTCTTTTTTACTACTTTTTTTCTGGGTTTTTTTTGCATGCCTACGAGTCACTATCTTGGTTAGAAATTTTAGAAATTTGAAATTTCAAGCGAACACCAACTCTGTCTCTGTTTTTACAGTATGCCTCTAATTCTTGCGTTTATAATTTATAGTTTTGATTACAAGTTCCGTACCAGAATTCATCATCTATGCTTTTACATTTTCGAAAGTTGAAAGCTGACCTTCGCACCAGTTTCCAAGCTTATGAAAACCTTTGCAAAAGATTTCTCGGAAAAAGACAATTTTAGGTGTTAACATCAGTTTTGATATAATACATGTACATGTATCTGGTACCAGAATGGTGTAATTATTTGTAAATATATTTTTGATACATGTTTGTTCTCACGATATGTAAATATGAGAAAAAGAGAATATGGATGTATATAAAGAAGCTGGTAAATTCTTCATTTAATCGCAGAATAAAAAATAATCGAAACATGAAAATGAAAGGGTAACTTTCTTCATTTACACTTATCGATTATTAAAAAAAAATAAACTTAAGGTTGGTTGACTATTGTGATGCGCAACATGGCATTTTTAACACCGGGTGCATAGCATCTAGTCCGAAAAAATCGATGTCATTCCACCAGACCACTGAATGGTCAATCTGTTCAAAAAGTTGGAAATGTACCAGTCTAGTCTTAGTCTTCAAATTGAAATCACTTTGCATCACTCTCAGGTGCAAAATGTTGAAGAAACGTCTCCTTTAAATGATGAATTGAGACCTCAAACTTGGCTGGTGAAATACTGAGGACCTTGTCTGCCTTATGAAAGTTTGGAGAATTTTGTCAGCTAAAGAGTGAGTCAAGTTGGCCTGAATTTGTTTTGCATGTTTTTCTGCACTCAAGGTCGTAGTCGGCATAGCACCCAAGGCCAGGAACATTAATACACATTCAGACACATTCAGTTTAATGTACAGTGTTTTATTAATATATGTCCAATTGGTGGGAAATTTTGCAAAAAAAAACATTTGTTTTGAATGAAGCACTAATACTGAGCAGGTACACTGAAGATAAATGAGTAGTATGTCGATGTGAATACGATGAATGTCCAAGATAATTATTTCAAAAGCTCAGCCTTTTCCTTGAAAAGTATTTCTGCAAAATGACACATCTTACCGGTTACCTTAAATGAGATGCATTTGGCTTAATATCAAAGTTACATTTATTCTTTGGTTTTGTTAATGAAGCGGCATATTTGGGTGATAACTTCATCTTGATACAACACTCTGTGAAGCTCACGTGGAAGAAAGTGGACGCAGTATTATATCATCCTCTTCCCAGCATTGTGAAACAATGTGTCAAAATTAGGAAACACCTAGGAATTAAATCCCAATTCCGTTTCACAATACATGTAAAAATTTGGTTTCATTAAAATAAGTTTTTCAATCAATTTGTGAACAATTCAAATAATTATGGGAGACGCTGTTCCGGTACATGGAGTATTGTGGTATAACGGAACCCAATTCTTTTTCTGCGAAAAGCAGACGAAAGTCACAATTTGATTAGGGCCTACCAGGTAATGTACCCGAGACTCAGGAATAAAAAGTTTCCAGAAAATTGAGGTGAAAAATATATATATCCGATGCTGTCCTGTGCATTAACGAGGTTAGCATTTGTTGCAATAATGACCAACCGATCTCCAACTTACAAAATCAGCAACTTTTTAAAAGTGCAATTTGGACACAAGCCCAATTTTGTAGCGCTGCTTAACAGGTGATTTTGTACTTACCGAGCCTCCATCTAGTTCATAGATACCGTAAGCAGTAAGCACAGCAAAAGCACGCTTAACCCCAGAGGAAAGCGTTGCTTAAATCAGTGACGCAACAATATAAATCTCCTTGGCGCGCAGCCATTAGCACGTCCACATTACGAAATGGTGCTTAAGCAGCAGCATTATTTTCTGCTGTAGTAAGCAGTAGTTTTTTTCGGCTAACTGTTAAGCAGTGCCATGATATTGGGTCCACGTCTTCATTCACAAAAAAACAAATTCAGTGTTGTAATACATGTATTTTTGATAAAGAAAATAAAATATATTTTTTGACACTAATCACTGGGAACATTTAACCATTACACCCATTGTCAGTGGTGCAGTTCTGTGAAGCTCAGAATACACAATTTATCAAAAGAAGACTAAATAGAGATGTACATGAATAATGTAGCTCGTTTTTAAGTCATTTTACATTATCTTAAAAAACCGAAGAATGCGAATGGAGGTAAATACACTATTGAATACAACATGTACACAGTTATTTTTTCTTTGTAAGAAAAAAATTACTGAAAAACCAGTCAGCAACATAGAAAAAGGAAAATATTAAAAGCAAGATATGAAAGATTAAATAAAAAAAATCTATATACAAACTGTGTTGTCTTTAAATAGATAGTGGTTTAATAAATGAAACCATTTTATTCATGGAAAAATCAAATACATGTCTATAAATGAATAAGGCATACAAAAAAACCTTGGAAGCGGGTGCACCAGACTAAACCGCGTATTATTTTCACAAGAAAACATGTCTGGTAGCATTTTAAACCATGATACTCAAGACGAAATAGGGAGAAAATATCAAGTCAGTCTCTACAACAGTAATATTAAACAACGCACAAAATAGTATACAGCTATGCATTTTTATATGATACAATTGTGCCGCCTTTATACAATGCCAATCAAATTGTTTAACTTTTTTTTCTCTAAAATATCTTATTTAAACAATTTCTCATTCAAAAACTATTCACATACCATTATATCAGCCTTTCTGTGTCCACCTATAACATTATCCCATACTGCTTTCAACAGAATGAAACTGATATCAAAGACGTCAGATTTTTGACCCAAATGTTACACAGAAATTTTTGACTTACTGCACCCTGTTTACGTGAACAGTTCATCAGCCATTTTTGAAAGATACAGGAAGCGTTTTTCAGGGTTGAATTATTTTCATTTATTATTTGGACTGCATTTTTATCAATGCCCATACCCCCCAAAAAAACTTCCCAAAAAATCGAGAAGATGCACTTTACCATTAACTGTAGTGAGAGGCCTCTAGTAAAATTAAAGTGTTGAAATGTTGTATGCATTTCTTTTTACAGAATAAGTTTTCTGCAAATCTGATGCCAACCTTAAGTTAACTTATTTTCATGTCCCCAAGAACACATCAAAGATAAACAAGGATAACACCGGATAGGTACCAGCCTACGTTTAACCATAGCCTCATTCTGAATCTGCTGGGTGGCATTTTCGGGAAAGCACGATATTTGCCTCATCAAACTAATCTATAAGGTTACCGTCAAATTTGGAAAAAGGACTTCCAAAACTGCCTCTTTATGGTGGACTAAGGGAAACAAATCAACAGAAACCGCCTCACTTTTATCTTTCCAAACACTAGCACTCGCCGGACCTCGCCTTCCGTCGGATTTTGCGCATCCGCCGGTTCCACTCGTCCTTCCACTGCAGCACGATGCTGTGCCTGTCGGCGTAAAGTCCGTCCTGGTCCTCGTTATCGTTGTTGTCGCCCAGGATCAGGTACTTCTTCCCCAGCCTGAGTTTGGGACACTTGCAGGTGAGGTCGTGGCGCGGCACGTACAGGAACTGGTCGCCGCGTCGGATGCGCTGGCTGCCGCGCTTGAACACCGACATGACGTTGATGGTGAATTTGACAAAGTCATTCCCCATCTCTCGGGAGAGAACGTGGGCTTGAATGACTGGAAAAATGAAAAGAATAAAGAAACACAATTAGTATATTTCTTTGCCTGGGAAACTGTTTAAAATAATGCACATTATTAAATGACAGCCAGGCAACGTGGAATTACTATCCTTAATTTCAAATCGGTACAAATTTTTTTTTAAGTTTGAAGTGGGAAGAATAAGTCCCTTTACAGCATTTTTTCAAATGTAAACGATGGCGCAGGATCAAAAAGTAGTAATGGATATTTTGTACCCAGTGTTTATCTCCCACATCTGTGTGTCAAAATCCAGTAAGAAATGAGCCTGTCTTTGTGATGTAATTGCGCAACCTCTAACCTTCCATTTATACATCACAAAATTTCATTCCGTCCGTGTTTTCTTAAGAGGTTAAAACCTGTGAAGATTAATTGGGGGCAACATCATTTGTTTTCAAAGCAGGTTCGGGACGTGTTGGGCCGTTGGTTTGTTTTCTGGTGGAAAATTCATTTTGAGAATGTCATCGACTTTTGTCGTTCCAAAAAAAAAGGAGTTCAAATTGTGATTTGGAAATTGAATACACCGATCAACCAATCAAAAATGTCCTTCTGAATTTCCTTAGTAACCACATGCACGGCAAGGATTGGTCTTTTAGTTGTATCAATGCTCGGATTGACCAATAGAATCCACCCTTACAAAGCTGTTGATTTGTGATCCTGTGAAGTGAAAAGTGGAGATGAAGTGTCTGTCAGCATAGGGTGTTTTGACTAAGGGCTCTCGCACCCAGTGTCAGAGGTTACGGCAGAACTAACAAATGTGGCAGCTGCGATTCAGCCACAAGTTTCGTCAAAAATAAGAGGACAAAATAGATTTGCCTTCAGGAATGGAACGTTATGAAGAAACCGCACAATGGTGCCATATCATTGAGCCTGTTTGAAATATATTTTTCACCCCCAATTACTTCACAAAAAAAAAAGCCTCGGTCTTTCTTTCTCAATGCTGTGTTGACGGCAAAAACTGAAGTCGTTCAATACTGTGACGGATAACCGTGTTTATGAAATGCCATACAAATAACAGGCTGGGGTTCTTAAACGCTAGCCCCCTTTTTTGTTGAGGTGTAGGGCCTAAGACTATTTGGCAACAGCCCCTGGTCATTCTGAGGGATTTCAAGCCACTTTGTTCCTTTCCCACACATATCTATGACAGCTTCGATTGTTCAAGCCCCCGTCTACTGCTTTCCATTTCTGATCCCCTAAACTATTACCAACACGGACTGGAACGCTGCAGATTTGTTCTTTCTTTGTACATGTATAATCTACTTTCATGGCTGGGCAAACAGAATTTTCCCCGTAACAGTTTCTTCAAACGATTACCAACCCGACCCATTTGCAGCCGAGAAACTCCAAAGTATTGGCATACATGTAGCTCAAATCTGATTGCAAAACTTAAGAAAATAACACAAGTCCCTTAATAGGTAAATCTTTAAATCTGATGTAAGGTTTTCTAAAAGTATGTAGAGTTTTCAAGCATAACACACTGGTACAGAAAGGGTTGTGGGTTCAAGTCCAGTTCAAGTTGTTTTTGCCCAAAATATGTAAAAGGTACATGGTGCTGTTTTAGAGTGTAGGGCCTATGTTGTTTTTTTCAGTAAAATAATTTTTTGGCATTGTACTAAAGTATTAGTACAATAACTGCCGATACAGATATGAAGCATTTGTTCAATTCTTTGCCTTTAATTCTACAAAAAGCCAAAACAGAGAAAACAAAAATCCACAGAGCCTGCTGAACAAGTTAAAGTCCACACATAAACAGACCCGATGCCTTAATGATCCGAGATTTGCAAGAATTAGTTCAGGAAAGGAACATTTTTTTGGGGGCGCCTGGTTAGCCACCCCAACCAGCCCCCTAAATCTGCCTTTCCTCACCAGGACATATTGTAATACATACACGTGTTTTGTGGGTCGGCGAGGAAATACGTATTTTACCTGCGACTTTTCCTTACCCGAGATTCTGAAAAGAGGCCATAATGGAACTATATAATATGAGTCATTTGTTATCCAACATGCCATAAGCGGCGCAGAGAGCCCCTTATCCCCCCAAACTTTCCCCAGATACCCCTTTACCTATATCCCACCTCCCTTCTTTCGATCCCCGCGAGTAACTCCCCTACATGTGCTTTGATTTTGTTTTCCTAAATAGGCCCGGCTTGTTCACATTTCACCCTGACTGTCTGGCCACGGCTTGAGTCATACATGTAAATCTAAGACTACAGGAGATGATGTGTATGCCCAGCAATCGATAACGTCTCTCACACGTAAAACGTACAACTTGAGTATAAGCATCTTAAAGATGAACCACAGACTTGAGGCATTTTACATTCACTGCACCTCAGGATGACTTGTAAAGCAAAACTTCAAATTATGAGTTTGAGAACTGATCAATATACGACCGTGGAGAGGGTACTTCAATTTTATATGTGTGGTGAGGACTTTTTCTTAGTGAGCCCCAAAGCATGTTTCCATACCGTTGCAAAATGCCAGACTTTGCAGGCGCGCTGCTGAACACATGTACATGAAATTGGAAAGCTGTGTAGCACGGCAACCTGGGGCAACAACTGATGAGTCAGTCTGCATCAGAAGAACCCAATACTTCTTTTTATTAAAAAGTCGATCGATAAAACTAAACAAGAACTAGGCCAGTGTTCTGGAATGCATGCGAGGGTAGATTTAGGGGTAGGTTGGGGTGGCTATCTCCCTTCCCGCTTATGAGCAAGTTTTAGTGGGGAAAAATTCCAAATTTCTCTGAAATAATAATGAAATACAATATTGCAATTCTAGATTCATTGCTTTGGGGTTTTGGTCTCTGTATGTACTCACTGACGCCCCTCTAATTCATGTATCCGTAACCTACTTTGGAAAATCCAGACTTCACTACCGGTACCTTTATAGCCGAACCCCTATAAAAACCTGTATTCGCACTGAGGTCCGTAATTAACCAAATGAAAGTTTCGACATGAATTTCCATGTCTGTAAGTACTGCAAAGACGGTTCCTCACCCAAAGACTCACTTTAGCAAAACTGGTCGCATTTATTATCCAAAAACAGCATGTTTGTCTTAATGTGTTGTTGGAAGCTTTGCAGAAGCGTTAAATTAGTGAAATTAGGTTGTTTGGGCGTACACCATTGAAAAATATCAGGCGAGATCTTTGGTTTTGTTTCCTATTCTTAATGCCATAGAGAGATACCGGTAGGTATATGGACTGCATTGGGTGTGCACCTTGAATAATGTGTAATGTACATCACTCCATGATCCATCTCGTTTGAGTTTGCTCATGTTCCTCACCGCCCATTCTTCAAAGAAAATTGCCCTGAGCTTTCCTCTATTAAGGACATCCCCTCCTCTGCCTAGAGGAAGTCTTACAAGATCCATATACTGTACATGCGGTTAGGCAAACATCACTAACACGAAATTGGATTTTCTGACTAGGAAATGCACGTTGGAATCCATTACACAACATACTGAATAGTTTTTGCAGATAAGGGATATGAAATTCATAGGGGCCTGGAAGAAAATAAAACCACTTTAATAAAAAGAATGGTCTAGTTTCCCTTGAGGGATATTTGTGGAGTGGCTTCCGTTCTCCAAAGTGGAAATGTCTGCACTTGAGGTATCAGTGACAGCAAGTCAGTCATGTGGAAGCGTTATTACTGATCGCTTTTAAATTAAATGACTGGTTAGTGGAATTGCAAGGTGGTCTGCTGGGAAAAATACATATATCATTAATCTGGAGAAAAAATATCTTCTGTATCCTGGGGGCCTGTGTGGATATGAGTAAGTAATGCACACTCTCTTGGGGTTAACGACCAAGCGAAGACGAGATGCTGGATTCGGGTTACTAATCTTAGTTATATAACAACTGTCATGATTGGACACTCTTGGGTATCCTAAGCCAGGATGCTCCAATCAAAATGTGGGTTATTAAAAAATTGAGGATTTGGAAGAGTCTAGAAGGAGCCAAGTCTTAGAAAAAACAGGCTTTGTGATTGGTTGCTTTGAGGCAAGGGATGCTATACTCCAATCACTAGCTGGAGGAGTTCAGCCTATGCGGGGAGTGAGAGCCCTGCTGATTGGTTGCTTGAGGCACACAAGGGCAATGCACTCCTTCTAGTGGGTGGGTTCTGGGTTTCACAAAAAACAAAACCCAGAGGGGAATGAACTCCATCTAGGCCTTAGTATAATTCTGACATGCTTTAAAAAAACATACTTCTGTCAATCAGCATTTCTAGTAAACTGTCCTATTTTTTAAAACCAGGCATGTGGGGACACTGTTCTCAATTGCTTTTTTTTATGGCCGTTTCTTGAATAAACATTGCCTGGATAATTTAGCCCCAAATTATTTACGGGGTCAAAAGGGAACGGCACCCATTTCCCAAAACTGTGCTCAAGTTGACTGTCAAAAGTTCAACCCAATAATTTCTAGCATTTCTTTGTTGACAAAATTTAACTACATCTTTATTACAGCCACATCAATATATACGATCACTCACTTATTTACTTTTTTACCTCTGGGACCCTAAATCCAATTTCAAATTTTAACTGGAGATTCCAATTTCCTAAACCCATTTTTGGCTTCTCTGAATTCCGACAACACCAGAATCTGAAACTTATTTTTTGAAAATGCTCCACATTTTCTAACAGTAATGACACTGTAATGTTTCTCCTGTTAGCAACTACCACACTTTTAGAGAAATTGCATCACTTTTTGTGTTTAGTTTTTCCTGAAAGTTTGTTCTGTCACATGCATAACCATGTTTTTAAAAAGTCTGCTCTTCAAATGAAAGTTAAATGGTATGAAAAAATAATCTGAACAACAGGCCAGATATTCTTTATGTTTCTTAAAAAAAAAAAAAAAAAATTGATAAATTAGGTGCCATTTTTGTTCACACAAATAGAAAACACTGCAAAATCTAAACTCATATCAAGACAACCAGATGGACATCTACAAACTTCTGTTTTGGTTTAAAGTAGCTATCCTATTTGCACTACAAACACCCTGTGTGATTAAGATCTGCCCACACTTTGTGAATTTGGAGCCTGTAAGTTACCGCCAGCTTTCCCCAGCCCCCAACAGCAAACACCGCAGAAAAAAAGGCTTCCTTTTCTGTTGTCAACTCGCATGAGCATCACCTATAGAACTGCAAAGAGCTTATCAGCGAGACTTTCTTCATGGGTTTCGCCGCAGTTCTAGCCCCGCACCTCTAGGCATAAACACTGCCCCAAACTTGCAAGTGTGCTGCGCCCACAAAAACTTTTGTGTTCTGACCAAAACGGGTTGTGATCCAATACAAGAGGACTCAGATTAAAACACCAAACCTTTGGACACACTCTTGAGGTTTTTTGTCCACTCTCAGGAAAAAGAAAAGAAAGAAAACAGTTGCGAAGTGTATTTCAGAAAAACACTGTTGCAGACACTAAATATTACCAGTGGCACAAAATTGTGGTAAGCCACTGGGTTTTTCTTTCATGGCCTTTTGTCGGAGTAAGATCTGACACTAAGAAGTTGTGACAATCTGGGAATGGTGCATTCCGACAATCTTGGGGTATAATTTTGAGTCAAGAACTCTCCCAGAAGCAAAAAGTAATATGCAGTATTTGATGATATTTTTCATACATGGGATTTTTTGGTGTCTTTCCGGTCAAAGTATGACAGGAAAAGAATAAATTGGTAAAAATAACTGTTCATGTAGCAGCAGGAGTCATGTAGATTTGGTTTTAAAATGAAGAGAATAGTTACAAATATAAATACCCATAAATAAATTGGCATTACAGTATTTGAAAGTCAAGTACAGTGCAAAGTTGTTCAGTCCAATTGAAATACACTGTACAATGTACATTAGAGAAACAAGTTTTATATTAAATACTGCAATGGTTGTGCAACCTACAATATTTTAAATTATGTATATCCGTGCTTTTTGGGTGTGGCATCTTGTCTTGAAACAAATTTCAATAGAATTGCTAGTTTCTTAGCATTGAATTATACCGGTATTTATGAGCTTTCAAATAAAAAAATCAGCAAACATGTTGATACAATTTTTGTTTCAAATTGAAAATGAGGAATGTCCTGTTTAAAATTCCAGCAGCAATAATGTGTAGCACAAAAAAGGAAATCCAATTTTTGGAAAATGGAAAATGAGTGAATTTAAATTTTTTTGAATTGTAATTAAAAACATTTGTTAGAAGGGAAATCAATCACATGAAATGTGTCAGCAGAACATGACACAGCTATTACAATTTTAAAATTTGACAGTCTAAAACTGAACTAGAGATTGATCTAAAAAAAAACAGTAGAAAACACATAGGGTCTGATTTCTAGCTACCCTGGCCAGTTAAAACTTTCTAGGGCTGTAATATTGGATACCCATAAACCCCCTGGGTGTTTGGTTTTTTATTACAAAACCCGCACGTTCTCCAGCGAGATATTGATCTAAGGAAACAGCGATAGCATCTCGCTGTCTCAACACGTTATTCCCTTGTGGCAACCTCACTCAATAAAACAAGGTGGAAAAAAGAGGTCTGGGCTTTCAGAAAGGAGACAGTCATTGATTTGTATAACTGTTTTTGTGATGCGTGCTCCATACATCATGAAACCTCAAAGACCCTTCAAACATTGGGTCCTTATTTTGCAAATCTCCGTACAATTCTAATATCGCCGCTTGTTTTTTTGGTGCTAGCCTTTATGAACTTGTAAAGTGATTTCATGCACCCGTTTCACACCTATTTGATTAAAATCTATTTTCGCATCAGCTTTTTCCAATTTGGCTAAAACTTTTGCAGATGTACGGAACCATTTTGTAATTGCTGTCATAAGTATTACACACTATAGTCCATGACTGAGCAGCTTTTTGAAGGACTTTCAATGAAGTAAAGATTTTGCAGCATCCTGGGCTGAAATATGACATTTTTGGTGACTCAATGTCCAAATTTATAACCAAATTTCCCAACATACCATGCTGTGTCCAAATGGGCTAAAAGTTTGAAAAATTTAAGCATGAAAGCTTATAAGTTTGAAATTTATAGCAAAACTCAATAAAACTGTGTTGCAAGAAGTCTTGCATTGGATCAAAATGATCCCTGCCCGAGCTTCAAAATGCGACACCGAAAAATGTGACGCCGCTGGCACATACGGAACACCATACTTTTGGTCATTTTTCAGGGACAGACAGACAGACAGACAGGCAGGCAGACAGACCGACCGACCACCAAGTGACATGTAGAAGCTCCTGCCAGAGCTTAAAAAACAAACCCGGGTCTTTCAGCTTCAAATTGAAGAAAAGATTAAGTGATAAAAGTTCTGAGGCTTTTGAAATATGAAATACGTGTCTGGCATTGAAAAATGAATGCCTTCCTGTAGCAATGCTTTTGGTCCTACACATACCTGCAAACACATGCTGGCGCTGTTATCGATCCCAATTTGTTAACACGCATTAATTTGAGAAAAGGAAACTTACTCAGAAAATTTCATGACTAATTTAGTTGAACAGGGTGTGTGAATCCGGGACAGAGAAAAAAAGGCCTCATCTATCAACCATTTATTACCCAGCCGGCTCAAAAATATGAAAAATCTTAACCAACAGTCTTTCCTGTGGAAACCTGGGTTATTTTGTGAAGTTTTTCGGAGCATCAGAGCGAAGTTGAAGGTCGTTATTAAGTGTGTAGATTCCTGTCAGCATCTAGAACCTTTTCGGTACCCCTCATGAAAAATTGTCATCAGTCATGATTTCCTAAAAACACCAAAACATGTCACTTTAAGGAAAGGCCCGTGCTGGGTTATATTATGCCAGATTCACCCCTCCGTAAGGTAACCATCCAAATATTTTAAGACCCGAAAAATTCAGAAACATTTTAAAATGCTGGAAAAAAAATCAAGGTGTACAGAAGACAATCAGGCATTATTTTCAGGAAAGGGAATCTTTGTCTAAAATTTGGAACCCTCAAAATTCATCGACATTTTGAAAATGCCTAGAAAGCTACAAGGATATTTTTTTACAAAGTTGGCCAACTTCGATTATACCCAATGTGCCCGTGTTGGTAAGTAAACAGGTGGTTGTGGGTTCGAGTCCAGCTTGTGATTTTTTTGCTTTTTGGCAAGCCCTCGCACAATGCTTAAAAAAAAAGGTCGGTGAGAGGTAAAACCCAGCAGGCATACATGATACACATAATAATATCCCCTCCCTCCCTGCCCCAACTCCACCGCAAAATTCTATCGCGAAAAAAGCTGTCTTTAATTTACGTCATTGTTTCAGGACCCAGTATGAAACAATCCTTTGTTATTTTGGGAAGGCCAAATTGATGGAGACAGGCAAAACGGGAACTGACTACCCCCAATTTCCCGTTCAGGTCCCCGAAGGTTGTCTGTTGCTAATTCAGCACAGGAAGGGGCTCTTGTTGTGTTCAAGAATGCTTGCACTTTTCAAAGCAGGCGATTCAAATTCTAGTTACATCGTATATGTGGTGACTTGAAGTTTGTAGTGTACATTTCAAATTATTCAATTTATTTGTTCATCATGTTGTAGAGAGTGGTGGCATCATGGTCTGGAGCATTTAACTCAACTTCTTGTGGGTAAATCTGCGGATTTGCAGGTTTGAGTCTAGCCTCGGGTTTGATTTGCATGTGTCCTTGGGCAAGACACTTTACCACAATTTTGAATTCTTGGACTCACCGTAATCTGTCCTGCAGTACCTCTTGTGGCTGATTTTGGTGCTCTTTGAACAGTCTGGACACTCATCTGTAACAAATATCACGGAACCAAGATTAACATTTCTACAAATTTAGTTCCAGTTCATGTAAAATTGAAGTAAAAATAAAGAAATCAGTGAAGTAAAAATCACTACTACATGTATCTATGCATTATGATCAACTTTCACCAAGTTTTGTATTTTATTACATGGACAAAATTTGATACAACCTCGCATAGCTCAAATTGCATGCCTGCCTGAAATGATAAAGATACCATTATCTTCAGAATTTACACCTTCAACGAAAATACTTGACACGGGTTACGAGTATTATTGGTATCGCGTCTTCATGTTATGCCCTTTCACAGTAATATATATAGCTTGTAATCTATAGCAAGGAATTTTTGACACATTGTAAATCTGTTTAAAAAAATGGGTCACTTAATTCAAAGTTCATCTGTCCGTGAATGAAAACAAACGATGCATTTGTAATATTACAACATGTTTCTGTACTGTTGACAACCTATGGTATGTTGCTGTCATATTGCATTACATCCATCAGGAACAATGGGGCTATTATTGATTAATTTATTAAGGTACATTTATTCCATTATTATTTCCCCCTTTTTTTTATTCAAAAGGTATGTGGACTGGTGCCAAATAAACACTTCACTGGAGTTGATTTATGTTTATTATAAAAATTGGATAAATATTTTATTCTTCCATCATATTATCTGTCATATTTGTTGAATCAGGCTCACAAAAAAATTAGAAATTGGCTCTCTGGCACTTTATCGGTCTTTTATTTATCAGATTTTGTAGAGAAAAGCTTAGTTTTATTGTTTCTACTGTTTCCTCTAAACACTTAGGATAATGAAGATATAACAACAAGGTTTTACAGCCTTCATATAAAAAATATGATAACGTTATTTGTAAATCATCCAGGCTGCGTGTGGTGTATCAAGGTTGGGGAGGGGATTGGTAGGGCTAAAAATGGGGAATGTTTTTAATAAAATTTCAATGTTCTAGTTCTGAGATTGCGAAGCTTTCATTCCCCCCCCCCCCCCAAGGCAAAATGTCCTAGGGTCATCACCCCACCCTGTTTTCATTGCTGGATATGCCTCTAATCCCTCAAATTGTCATGAGGAAACACAGCCCATGTATCCATGCACTTCTGTACATGTACAAGTTGTTTTTCGATGTATATTTAACGTGACCGAAAGGTCACTGCTAACTTTGAAAGCAACACTGCTAAATATTTGATGTCACATTACTCATGTTGCGTGCACCTACACCATCAATCATGTTAATTGCCTGAATGTACTCTACGAGCATTGCATGCATACCTCCAAAAACAATGGCCACATTATTGTCACATATCTCAACAACATCAGAATGTGACATACAAAAAACATGCACATAACCCCCTTTATATGACACCATTTTCTCAATAAATATTATCCAACGCCCCAATTTACACATTGACAGTTGACAGTATTGACTCAAGTTCCAAACAAATATTTTGCGGGAATAATTTTTGGGTCAAGGGCATCTGCTACCTTCCAGTATTTGTCAGAGGCAAATGCAAACGACAAAGATCTCATTTTTTTACAAATTACCTAAAAAAACAAACGCTTTAAAAATAAATTCTTCCCATTATAGCTATTGCCTAAAGCCTTTAATAGACACAAGACCAGTTCTCCACTTGTAAACTTTGAAGAATTTGTAGTGAATCAATTGAGTGGTCCATACATGTAGAAGCGAGTTTTCCCCCAGAATACACTGTTTATTTTGAAAGAAGTAAAAAATGAGTTATATACTAGCACCTCCGAGCTTACATTGGCTGACCTTTCGGTATGTACGAAGCTACAAGCATCAACGCTAAAGACATTACATCTTTAGGGTCTCATTTAGTGACACATCATTTTGTTCACTGGACAAAGCTTTGCTTCTCCAGGTGTGCCGCTCCTAAGGTCAGAGGTTATACAAGGTCGCAAGGGTCACCTTAGCTTCCTGTTTGAGGCCATATTTTTTCCTCGATACCCCCATCAATTTAACACATCTATCTCTGTCTTGAGTTTTAAACACTCGGTCTCTTTTTCCAGAACAGGTGTTGGGAAGCATGTCTGCTCATCAGGTGTGTATACTTTTATCCACCGCACCTTCGTGTCTCGTGGGTCAGGGTTTGAAAGGTCACGATGGGGTCAACTTAAACAATTTTTTGTTTACACTATGTACCGGCACCCAGTGTGGGAAATTTGTTTTGGAATTTTGCGATACAATTTTTTTGGCTTTAGCACGTCAACAGAACTGGGGGCCTATCTTGTTGAGTCTGATGAACTTGAAGATTCGCCAGGTAAAATGAAATTTCATCACGTGACACGTTCACAATATCCAACTTCATCTTTGTTGTCAGGCCAACCAAAACTGAGATGTTCATCATAGGAATATATATGTAATTCAGATGAAAAACATGTTTACATACTTTTTTTAAGGGGGGCACACACCTTCAATCTTTAACTGTGTCTTGAATTTAAATTAGCGAAGAAAAAGAGAGCAATTTTATATATAAACACCTGAATATCGATATCAATGGGTTGACCCGAGAGCAGAAAAATGTTATTTACATGTAAACACCAATACTTGCTATTCAGGATATTTCTGGTATGGGGAAACTATCTGCTGATGTTGTCCTACTTCTCATACTTCACCATTCTCATACCCAAAACCTTGTTTCCTTTTGACAAAGACAAAAAAATATACCCTTCTCTAAACACCAATAATTACACCTAACCTCATCTCAAACTTGCACCCCAAAAACTCTAGTTCCCTATTCATCAGTTCTCCCCTTCCCTCACTGGATACCAACTGCCCAGCTTGCGACCCTTTCCTAAACTTTCTGTGGAATCACTGACCCTCCATCAAAGAAATTCCTCTAAAACCAAAAAGACAAATTTCTATCCAGAGCAGTCTGTCAACATCTTGCACCCTAATCCTGGCCAACAAGTCTGACCCCTACATCTTCCTTCCTTTTCCAAACACAACCTCAAAAAATATCACAACTCTAAACTCCTCTCCCAGGGCCAGACCAAGAAAAGAATATGTTGTTGGTGTTGTGCAACCTGGACCAGGATTCATCATGCTGAAGACCCATAATAAGTGAACACAAATAGTATCATGGCAGACCATGGGCATAAGATGCTCAAGCAAGATAACAGTTCATAAGCCAAAGTTTTGAGGGCCCCCCCCCCCCCCATTAGACAAATCACTCAGATCATGAAGCTATCCCTCCATACTCATACAAGTTGTTCTAGCTTTATACTTATGATTTCTTGCCTTAACACCTGTCCTGAAACCAGATGTCCCATCCCACAGCAAGCAAACCCCCTAGCTTCCAATAGAGGGTTAATTTGCTGGCATTATGGGCCCGACCTTGCCAGAGACCTCTCTGGAGTTCAGCCCAAACTGTGCCACCTGAGTGATTTACGCCTTGCTGACACCTTAATTGTTTCTACTGGTCTGATGTCAGTAAGCACGGTTTCCCTATCTCTGGTATGATTTGCGGGGTGATAGGGAAACACCAATCTAAACTATTGTCAAGGGTTGGGCACGAAAACAAAAGCTATACTTCACTTTGAAGAAATTATATATTCAAGAGGCTGTTCAAGATTGATTGCTGGTCCCAGAGGCCAGCCTAATGTCCTCTCTGTACCTGACTGACTGACACTTGTGAGCCGGGCAGTGCTATCGTATAGGATTACCTAGTTAGGCCAAAGAATGTGCTTAATCCATCCCATTATGTGGATCAGATGCATGAAAAGACCTTCCAAGTTCCAGTGAATAACCATTTTGAATCCTTTCAATAGAGAATCAAAGTGAATACATCACGCGCACAATCATGTGTGCAAAAGACATTAGCGCATGATTCAGACCTTGAACCAACACGCGCGCGTACTTCTTTTGTTTGCACTACACTTCCTGGTTCAAAATGACGTCACACTTCGGTACTCTATAGAATACTGTGCACTCTGGGGCCGGCTTAACTAGGTTTATCTTGTCTTGTTTTGAAAGAACACTGAATTGTTAGTTTATCCATTGATCAATGGTTAAAAACAATAACAGTGCAATTTTAATTTCAAGCATTATACCAGTCTCATACTTCACTTTTATTTCCACCGCTCCTATCATTCTGTCTATGATCAAGAGAAAGATTTGGCTAGGATTCTGATTGAAATATGTCAGATCTTTCTCTTCCGATCTATCTTTTTCAAATAAAAGCAGTTCAGACTTCAGAGCACCTTTTTTATTGTATAAAAGTATAGGCCTACCATTTGAAGTTACACAATGCACTGAACTATCTGGCATGCTAAGTTTGCATTTCCCAATTTGATATCATTTGCTGCAATAATTCTCCCCAATCCCATAAATAAACCCCTTACAATCCTCCAGCAAAACAGGAAGGTCACACAATTATGTTCCATAATCCACAGCCTTAAATCTGTCACTCCTACAGCTGCCTAACACCAAGGCTAGGCAGCTAATGTACCAATCAGTGATAGGCTATTCCCTTGGGTCTAGCTGTATCTACAACCAGCCTACTTCAGATCTGTCATTTCTGTTCTTTTCTCCCTTTTCCCCCTCCTGGTTTTGTTTGATGCAAGGTCAAAAATCAAGATGTTATCTTTTCATTTCAGTGTGTTTAAAATTCAGGGTTATTTCTGCAGATTTTAACACCCTATCCAACGTGTATCACAAGAGATCGCCACAAGCTCACTTTGAATTCTAAGGATGAAAATTGTTTTTGGTTTTTAGAAGGTGAACTGTTTTTGAGAAATTCTTTTTGTTCAACAACTGTTGAATATTATTTTGGAAGGTTGGCATAGTTATGAAAAATGTTCCTTGCTTGAGCAGCAATTCATTCCAAATGTAAGACAACTAAATTCTGCAAAGGACATAGAAATTACATTAGGGATAAATGCCAAGCCCCCCCCCCAAAAAAAAACCCCTAAACTAATGTGTCGCAACAAAGGCAGGCACTGTGTACACCACCATCTTTTTCCTCCAATAGATTTGGTTAAAGTGGTCAGAAATAGCCTCAGATTGCACCACAGAGCATCTAGAATCCAAATTTTGTTCGGGGCCCTTCAGCGGGCCCGAACCCCAATTCTGACTCCATTGCCAGACTTTTTTTGTCCCCAAACAACCCACATATCTAAGGTTTTGTTCCCTTTTTAACAAAAACGCCCTTGGATAAATAATTATCTGGAAAAGTCAGGTATTGCATTCTCCTCATTGTAGTGTCAATATTGGAAGAGTATACGCAGAATTTCAAGTATGTGTTGTGACCAACACAGGCTTTGGCAAGCCTTTTTGTGGCACGTAGGAAAAGTACAAAATTCTCAACGACAAACACAAACAAGTTGTGAAGAGCTGACTGCTTGAATACGGAAAATTTCTGACAATAGAATCATTTCAAATTTGTGGCTGACACGCATTTACCAAATTTTAGGATCGCAAAAACGAATCGGCCAAAAATTACCTTGTTTCCACAGATTCGTTGGTCAGCAAAGTTGCACTTACAAATCTCAACCATTAGCATTTGTACTTCATTGTATACAATGTACTACACTGTATACATTGTACCACATTGTATACATTGTATACATTGTACCACCTTCCTGATACAGAATCCTAGATGAATCCATAAAACCATGCAGTGCTGGAGCAGTTTGTTAGGGCAGTACAGTTTGGGGCGGTAACAGGCAGGACAGTTTCGGGCGGTACAGGGACTAAATGGATTACAGTGTTTCTAATTTGCAGTAGATTCAGGGTTTTTATTTTGTTTGGGGGGGGGGGCCAATATGATATTTTATACTAACCTGGGGAAGGTTCCTCTGGCGGAGGGCTATTTGTGATGGAGTGTTCCGGTGGTGGAATTCCTGGGGAAAAAGATGGAAAAGAGGGTCACTAATGTGGACATCATAAGCCAGTTATTACAACTTGGCATGTAGTGTTTTTTTTTTATGTAAAATTTTAAAGATTTGTTATTCAAATGTTCAGTATTGTACAATTGATTGAATGATAGGTAATGATCTTTCAAGTAAATTAGAACAGTCGATCATGTTGGTAAAGAAAACACATGCTTCAAAATCCGAAGTATGATAAATCTATAACGGTTTGGTTCTCTGCCCTGTTTACTGTGAAGAATACTTTGCATCATCCTGATAAACAAGATAATTTAATCAACGAGATCACATAAAAGAAGCATAATGTTTTCATTGATATCTAGACAGTTCTTAATACGGCAGAGGTACATTGTTAACCTCAAGTTTCAAAACAGTTGAGTCATTCAAAAGAAGACGTAAAATTTTGCAAAAAGTGTAACCCTCAAACTCCCCACCCAAACCTCCCCTTTCCCCAAAATTTCCCATGGGATAAACCTTCAAACATAGATCTTGTCAAGTGTGAAAGTGAGAATTTCTGATTTCCTTTGCACAATTTTCGAACCCTTCTGGGGAACATGAATCATACATATTTTTTTCGGGAGCTGAAGAGTGCTTAATTGAGAAACTAGTCAAGCAAAACTGGTTCCCTTACGGGGTACCAACTGGCTGCACCGGGCAAGGGCCGCGGGGATGGCGAAAAAGAAAATGGGGGCGGGAAAAACATCTGCCGAGCGCTGATAGGATTTGGAAAGGGAATCGCTCGAATGCCCCGCAGCAATTATCACACTAAAGGTATCCCTGATTGCTGTTTCTTCAAAAGCTGAGTCTCAGGTGACTGAAGGTTTTTCTTTAACCACGGTTTCTCTGCTTTCAAGAGTGCGTGCCTTGTCTGTTTTGCTGGTCTGCAAAACGGAGACAAAAACATCTGCTGGACAGTGAAAGGTTTTGGCAAGAAAATCTCTCCAATATCCTGCAGCAATACATCAGGCAGTTGATGTGTTCGCAAAGCTACTTTGGCAAATATCTCTGGGTCCCCCCCCCCTCCTTTTTTTTCTCTCAGGAATCGAAATCCAGCGTCTCGGGGATTAAAATCGGGGAAAACTTATCAGGACACGAGTCTCGTTTTGCGGATGAGACACCTCGGCACTAATGGAATTTTGCTGGAGTGCATTCCTGAGAATTGATTTTTCCTCTTTTTTTTTAAATTGTGACTCAGTATTCATAAGTCAGAGACTTGTTGCCTGCCGATCAAATTACAGATGATTTTTTTTAAAGCCGTGATGATAACCTTTATAAATGTTAACCTTTACACAATTTTGCCAAAATGTGGTTTAAATTGAGTCCCAACAATTGATTATTTTTTAAAAGGTTATGGAAATTCTTTCGCTTGAATAACATTTCAGTCACAATATAGGCATCCCTCACAATCATCCCTCATTATCTGCTACTTAATTTTTAGAAATTTTTAGTAAAAAATCACAGGGAACTGGAGTTTACAATGAAAATGAACAAGAAACTCAAATATGAGAGTAGAGAACAACTGTTAATATGAATTTTAATATGACTTACTCATTAGAGAAGAAAGGAGATTTATATATATATATACATATAGTTTCTAAAGGAAAGAGGGCTCATTTTATGGTGCTGCTACGTGCAGACATTTGCTGAACAGACAGATTTCTGACCAAAATGTTCTTCGTTCTAGGCTAACTGTTTTTTCTGTGCATAAATGTGCTCAGTGATATATTTTTTGTCTTCTGCGTAACAGCTCATTGGTAAATTTGGCCCAGGAATGCCTCCCTTGCTTCTTCAAAGGGAAGAGCGGAAACCTTCCGACTTAAGCTAGGTCTCAGTTGCTTAACACCTCTGATTGGTGCGAAATCCTTAGGTTCCCCCGGAGAGATTAGGGAGCGTTTAAGGGAAGTGCTTAATATTGGGACAGATGAGATGAACAGATGTGGGGAGGGGCAAACTAGTGCAAGGTGAAAGAAACAAGGGAGGGGTGGAGACATGATTAGAGTAGTGTTGTAGTTGAGCCTTGGCTGAGTCTTTGTCTGATAAGAATACTGAAATATCATTTAGTATAGAAGAAATTAACCCAAGAAATAAGTGTCATGTGAGTGCCAGGTCTTTCGATATGGGTTAGAATTTGACTGTTGGTAAGAAAGTTACACTGAAAATGACCAAGCACATGCTAAAGGTCATGGACATAATTTCAGTACTTTATATCTTCAGTTTTCAAGGAGGCACATCTAATGTATAATGTTGCTCAATCCTAATTCTTTTCCGTAAAATGCCTTCTTTGGATGAGTAAAAATGTGCCACTCCCCCCTCCCTCAAGAAAAGTGGATGAAACTTTGAAATGTATACATGGGACTTATTTCCAAACTTTACTCTGTAAATAACTCTTGGAGTATGTTTCTTTTAAAGAATGAATAGCGTAATTACGTACTCTCCCTAAACTGACCACCAATGCACTCTGAACTTTGATACTGATAAAAGTTCAATGTGCATGTGTACTTTTTATATCCTCTGGGTGTAGGCAGGGAAGCAAATGTCTCGAGGGGGAAAGATAGGGATCTTCTGAAGAAATTCATTAGATGTTTTGCCGATTTGGGGGATGATTGAATTGGAAGAGGCCACTTGCAATGTGTGGACGGATACGCGGGGTGAGTTAAAACCAATCTGGCAAGACTATCTGTGGCACAGATAGCGCAATGGTGACTGATAGAGAGTAGGTGAGGATCTGGTGGCTGCTTTAGGAGGGGGGGGGGGAAGGGGTTGGGGAGGGGGGGGGGGGGGCATCAGTAGCTAAGGGCAATGACCAGGGCCAAAAGGACAACCCAAGGTGTTAACATCCTACTTCCTAGATGCCTTCTTCCTTTCCTCAAAATCCTGAAAGTGTGACTTCAACACCTGGAGTTTAAACCACTTCCAAAAAGTTTGGTCCTAAAACTAAGACTTCAAAGAGTATCACTGAAGAGACATGCCTTTGTCTCTTTTGTGAATGAATCTAGTCGACTCAGAGCAAGGCTTTTAAGTCACAGTGTACCTCTTAAAAAATTTTTAAAAGCCCTTTGGTCAAATTACAGGTCATGTTTTGTTGAAAAAGTGAGCTTTTTTTAATCAAGGATTTACTGATCCATCTTAAGACAACCATACATGTAGGAGTTTTTGAAAACTGTCCAAGTTTACCCAAATACCCATTAGTCTTGACACAATCTTTTCTTCCTTGCTCTTGCCCTTGGACATTAGAGGGGAAAATATAGCACAAAGCCACAAAATAAGGAGTAAAAATCACAAATATTGTAACCCAGATTGTTCAAAGAGAACTCTAGGGGCATTCTTTGAGATATTTATCATTGCCAGCGGAGGGGATTAAAGGCTCTGCAGTTCTGTTTTCATAGTTAACAATTCATCTTTTGAAAAACCCCTCCCGAATGACTGAAAAAAAGAGGGAGTGATTTCAATGGCTTCTGTTTTGCTACAGTCAACATTTTTTTAATTTCTGAAATGGTTGACACCATCGGGCTTCAGGGAAGATAAACAAAAAAATGGGATTGGTATTTTTTTTGGTATTCACGAAACTGTTTGGGGAGAGTTATACCAAGAGCAACAAAGGAATGGAACAATGGACACTGGTCTTTGTTCAGATTTAGGGGGCCTACTTTTCATTTTGAATTTTGAGTTCCACCACAATTTTCCACACAGAATGAAAGTTATGTAGGCGTGCGCGGTGGTACTTTTTTTCGGGGACTACTCAGGCTACCTTGTAATTTCGGTTTTTAGTCGCTTTTGTGAGTTTCTCTAAAACATCAATCTAGGGTTTTCCTTCAAATTTAAAACTGACTATTTCTTCACAAAATAGTTTTATATAGTCCCTTATAGAGTATATGTAAAGAATCCTCGGTTTCATTATTTAAAAAAAAGAATAAAATAAACATACCCAAGACCCAAACAAATTTATTATCATTTTTGTACATAGGGCTGGATCTGATGGTGATTTTTCTGTTATTAGAAAAACACAGACTCCAACTTTGGTTTACTCCAGATTTCAAAAATGTAATAGTTGTTTCTTCTATAATCTTGCTTAGGGGGTTTAAAAAGTGGTCCAATGCCTAATCTTTGCTTGTCAAAATGTCTTTTCAGAGGATCAATGGAATCAGTCCTTAATCTGTAAAAGCTTCGGACAATCGCCTGAAATTGAGGCTTTTTTTCACAAGTTTCAAGGTGCCTAGGAGCAATTAGGGTAAACAATCAAGCCCCAAAAGTGGTTTTTCCAAGTTGTCCCACAGGCTATGGTAGAATTGTCCAGTGAAGGTCTAGTGTGGAAAAAAAAAGCCTTGGTGTTTGTAACCTTTTTTCTGTGCCGCAACTTTCATTTTGATGGCAAGGATTTCTATGTCTTTGCTATTTTAGGAGTAACGCATTTCTCGGTCAAATTTGAAGTGACATATCACAACTTGTAGGTCTGCATTCTGCAAAAAATGCAAACTTTGCCATGTGATCCAGCTTTGCTCCAACATTAAAAGTCCAAAAAGTGACCAAAAATTCAAAAACAAGAAGTTCTACATAAAAAGTATTCTGAAAATGCCCCCATACATGCATTCTAATTATGTATAATTTGTGGATTTTTACTGCATTACCTTTTCATTATTGGCTTATATACTTACGTGTACATTTGTATTAACTTGTTGTTAATCAATACCACAATGTACAAGGTAATTTCTTGTTGAAATTAACAGAAAATATGGTATTGCTAAATTTGGCAGAGGGTCCCAACTGTATTACATGTAGGTCTCAATACCAGAATAGTTCAATGGTAGTGGTTGTCTAAACCAGAAATCCAATTTTACTTTGATGGCAAATTTTCACTTCATAAAATTTAAGTGAAGTCTGTGCGGACTGCATCCCTCACGTTCAGGTTGTTTAATATCAGCTGCAATAACATCTGAAACGCTGCAACACGTCGCCACGATAAACTTGCAAGAAAAAAACACAACCATACGATTGCCACCTGATCGCAACTAAACACTTCTGCTCGTTCAATCATATCAAATTTGATGACACACTCATAATCAATTGACAGACAAGATGTTGTTAGCATCTCCGAAGGTTCTTTACCTCATCTGATAAAACTAATGAAACTTTAACAGGAAAGGTAAATGTGAGGATGAGTGTTTTTAAAAGAGGTGCTCTTGTGCAGAAAGGGTGATGACATGTTTTGCTGTGCACAAATTATGGCTGGTGTAGATAATACCTGCTTATAAATTGTTTCTGTGCTCGGCAAGTTTCGTGATGTGACAATATTGAATGGGTAAAGGTGCAAGTTACAAGCTACATGTACGTGAATTTAATATACAGGTCTGCCTATTTGTAATAGCAGGAGCGTTAAAGGTCTTCTTTCGCCAGAGCCAACCACAGCATCCCAACTTGATGCAGTTTGCTCTCATTGAAAATCAGACGAAACTGCCTCAATGGTTTTTCAAAGCATCATCTGTGTTTTTTTTATTTATTCAAGTTGACAATTTATGTAAATTGGAGTTTGACTTGACTAGTGCAACAAAATATCAATCTGCCATTTCAGACACAGGATCAAATCTGGATTAATCATAGGCTATCATTCAGCCAATCAGCAAAGACCTTTAATTTTTCAAAAATGTATTGCAGCAAGGATGGGACACTGTGAATGGCTCCTGACAACACTGGTACCCTGTAAGAAAAAACTGTACGTGGTGCATACCTGTGATCTCTACAAGTGCGGTGACCAGTGCAGATGGACAAAATTGTGCACATGGAAAGGAAAAGAAAACATTAAGAAAAACACTGCAATTAGCTGAAAATATAATATCATTGATCAGTTTTCATTAAAGACAAATAAGTTGTTTCTCATCCCCAGTCAATCCATGAAAAAATTTAAATCATTGAATATTCATCTTATTGACTGAAATGCCCCCAAATTACAGAAACACACCCAACAGTTAACTTCTTAACTGCATTTCCCATTTTTTTCTTTGTGGAAATGCTTTTTCAAATGGACTGCTATATCAATACTGTATCTAATAAATTAATTTGGGGGTATTTGTATTTCCATGCACTGAAAAACATGCAGAGAGGAGTAACTCAAAAATACGAACAAAAATACAGTTTCACATTATCTTGTCAAATTTTACTTTCTCTTTGACAAAGAATTTTTTCTCCAATTTCTTTCCAAAAGTGATCTTTCATTTTGAAGGACAAAAGATGTTCTCAACATTTTATGTCTAATAGCCAAATTTATGAACACTTCCTCAAGAGCTTAAAATGGCTATAAAACAGAAATATACACACTTAAAGGGTGCATTTATGGATTTATTTGTGGGCGGTGAATGATTTGTGGCATTTGTGCCAAGGTTGGTAGCACCATGGAGCTTGCATTTTTGTGACAAGGCCAAAATACTTAACACATAACAAGCATAGGTCATGCAGAATATTTATCATGAATGCAGAACATGCTTCAAGCTTTGCATGCAATATCATCATTTCCTTGAATTTCCAAGGAACCTGAAAAAAATTCCTTCTTTTTCCCCCCTGGCTCAAGTTGATTCAACCATACTAAGTTTATAGCACTTGACTTTTCAGGACATCACTGGAAAACAGGACCCACACCTCTAATCGTTTTTCCCTTCAAATTTACCACACTAAAAATCACAAAATAACAGGTAAACATTTTTTTTAAAAATGCCCAAGCATGGCACATAGGGAGGTTAAATCAATTGAAAGGAATTGTCCATGCAATTCTGAACACTTTTAGAAATCCACTCAAAAAAAGGCCTCAAATTTTTCAAAACTCAACAAAATAATAACCACGGCTTTTCTGAGTGTTTTGTATCGGTTGAGTTGTTCATTCAACATGCAACATGCAGTCCATGCAGAGTTATCAAGCAACAAAAATTTTCAATTTTTTTGGTGATAGTTTGCTTCTGAATTTCTGCTCGAGATCAACATCTTCCACTCTGACATTCTGAATATAGTTTCATTTGCGAACTGTTTTTTTCTAAGAGGCTCATGGTGCTTTTTTATATGATCTTTAGGCAATTAAAAAATTAATACACCACGTTGATACCCCGCAATTTTAGTAATTTTTGTTTAATGATTTGGTTAATCATCATCAAATTCATCGTAAAATGAAACTAACTAGGCTAAATATTTAGTAAGTATTATGTTGGGCAAAGAAATTGCTGGAACAGCGTTTGAACCTTCAAAACCTAAAACAACATGTACCGGTGCTCTATCAACTGAGCTACCAGGTCATATTTATTTGTGTTTCAGGAATGGTTTAGTTGGTAGAATGCCAATACTGTATTCTGGAGGAACAAGGTTCATATCTCGCTCCAGTCAATTTCTTTGTCAAATACATATTTTTTTGTTTCTGTGGCTAATATTGCATTCGAATGTTTTTAGGTGGGCCGCAGCATTAATTTGGCATTAATATTATTTGCTATTTTTAGCCGTTTTCTAACTTCACTGCACTACTGCTTTGCCATGCGTTGTTATTTTGGGTTAAATGTATTAATCCCGATGTCAATTAATAAGCGTGTTAATTTTGATTTGCCAATACTATCATCATAAAAAAATGCATTATAGCAATCCCAACTCGTTCACATTCTATTTCTAAGTTTCTATATAGTAAGGGTTTAAAATGCTAAAAATAATCTACTTTTTTATTTCAACAAACAGTGTCCACATCACAATTAATTGGTTGTTAAAAACATAGCTGTTGTTTTGATTTTGCTACTGAACATGCAGGGTTACATGAACATACATTTTTGGCACTATTGAGAAGTTAAGTATATATTGAGTGGTGGAAGATTATTAAAATTATTTTAAAATTATTTAAAATGCTCACTGGGACATTTTGAAAATGGAAACAACATGCTTTTTCACACCATCTCATACTTCATAGTATAGCAAAATGACTTTTAAGGGAAAAATTATTAACTCTATATGGATAGCAATATAACTATGGATTAAATTCCCTTTATGCTCCTACAGTATGTACACCATTATTTTGAAGGTTATAAGAAAAGACACCATAAGTTATTTTGCCTATAAGCTAAGTTTGCAATAACTAATGAGACAAAGCATAGTGTATACCACATACGAGAGGGTTTTATAAACTAACAATATAACACCACTAAACAACCAGTCTGTTTCAGAAATTTGATTTCAACAAATCACCAAAAGCAACAAAAGGAAGAAGAGTACATCAATCCAGCAAGAAAAAGCAAAAGTTTCATACCAACTTCCAAGCATTTTAACTAAAAGCTATTTTTTTTTCTATCTCTTGCAAGTATAGGGGAGAAATAAAGCTACATTTCTCTAACAGAATTTGAGCAACTGAAAAAGAAAAGAGATAATTTCATTCTTGTTTGGAAGATATCCATCCATGCTCGGAAAGAGCAAGGCCAAAATAAAAAAATATATATTCCCAGAATTACCAGTGCGACCCCACTCAAGATCCTGTCCATCTAGGTTTGGCACAACAGTAGCTGATGATTTCAAAATAAACAAAAATATGAGCACACAGCTTGTAAATCCAAAAGCAAAGTAAAAAATAATATAAAAATGACGAAAATTGCAGTAATAAAATACACTGATCCATCTACAATCTGCGTACTAAAGTGTAAAACAATAAGAAAGTCCGTAAAAATGAATATGATTTTACACTTTTTAAGGGGAAAACTGGGGTCTTACAATTCTACAGCATGGTTTGGGTTGGGCAAGGGCTATGGGGAAAATGGACCAGGAAAAACAGTGATTCACAGGATTCAACATTTATCTTTTCATATAGCATCTTGTTGAGCTAAATCACTCTCTTTTGGGGGAGTGTTGCAAGTTTTTTCACTTATTTGGCATGTCAACGAAAGCATTACAGGCCACGATGAAAATTTGTCAATGGATCATGGAAATGATCATCTTGACTGTAAGAAATACATGTACGTATTCAAAAAGGCCAGCTTTATAAAAAATGTAGCACAATTTTGAGTACTTTATTTTTCATTGTAGTATCCCATTTGGTACATGTATCTGTGATTTTCACATTAACTTCTCGATTGGTTTTCATTTTACTCTTATGAGGGAAAGAAAATGTTGAATCCTAATTTGTTTTTTTGAAACACTGTTTGGGATCCGATGGGTGGACATACATGTAAACATTAAGAATATTTGCTGAATGAGCAGCCATGCAATGCGCAGTGATCTTGCAATGTTGCGCGGTGATCTGTGGCGTGTGACAAAATAATAAATCACAATGAATGAAATGCTGCCGCATTTCACAAACAAAAAATGTGAAGTGGTCCTCCATCTTATATGATTGTACTTTCTGTGAGAATTACTTAATTATTTATGTTTACTGCAGATGATAACAAATCATAAAAGATAAAGACTGGAATTATATGAATATTCATCAGTTGCCTAACATGCTGTCTGATTGGCTGAAAGTTTTAGGACTCAATAACTGATTGGTTGAAAGTTATCACTCCCGTATCACACAACGAAAGACAGTTTTAAGGGTATGGTATCAAAATGAAGAAATGATGTGTACAGGAGTTTTGATGTGGTTAGAATGAATACGATGAGTGCAAACAAAATGACTTTAGAAATTAGTAAAAACTGGTGCTTTTCATGCAGTGCAACTCCAAAATGTGAAAGGCCACACTGAACAAAAAAAGAAGTCTGGTTTCCAGACAGCTTACTTATGCAGGGGGCGACGGTGGATCGGCTCTGCTGGTAGCCCTTGGCGCACCGGTTACATGTTAGTCCGGTCACGCCGTCTTTGCAGGGACACTGGCCTGTGGTCTGGTTGCAGACCGTGCCAGATGATCCCACAGGGTGGCAGTTACAAGCTGTGAAATAGAAAAGAGGAAACAATTTGATCAAGTACAAATAAAAGAAATATGATAACACTGTCATAATTCTATAACGATGACCCAATGACTCATCATAAGTTATAGTATTTTGTCATGAAAATTAAGATGCATTGTAAAATTCTTCAAGTTGAAATTATGTTCATCTAGAATGTACTATCCTTCATAACTTGTGATACCATGAACCGTCTTATATAGGGCCTAGTGAATGTTCTATTATTTTTTAGTAAATATATGACCAAAAACAGGAGAAACAAGGTTTAATGTACAACTGCCAAAAAAAAAAGGTTAGTAACCTCAAATTTTTTTCACGTTGCCTGCGTCATAAAGCTCTGCCCCGTATAATAACACTGATGTAGTTTTTTTTTAAGTAAAGCTTCTTTTCACTCAACTGAGGCAGGGCTTGCCAACAAAACACCACCCAGACAGACAGACTACTGCCCAAGACACACCCAGGGCGATATTGGCCATTTTGTTGCTCATCACAATGTACTAAACTCATTACCCGAAGCCGTACTAATACTGAGGGCCCTAATGACATATAAATGCGCAAGCTTTCTATTTGTGGCTAAAAACAACATTTTAGTTTCCGGAAAGATATTTGGGTACTTCAGTTGGGTGCCAACCTCTAAGGTGAAAAGGGCAATTCCCTAGGAGTCTAAGGAACAAGATTTTTGGGCGGTGTGTTATTCTTGGATTTTTTGTGTCTTATTTAAGCATGTGTGGAAAGACTTGTTTGTCACAGAAAAGCTGCTTTGAGATTTGAAACCTCTCCATGTATCTTCCCTGTACAGTACCCCATAAACCCATATTTAACCTTTTTTTAATAGAATTTGCATTTAGGGTAAATTTAACGGCAAAAGCAAACAGGATGTGAAAGGAGACTATGAAGGCCTGCAAATGGCTACGTCCAAGTTTGAATATAACCTAGTTGGGTCCAAACCCCTTCCTCTACCTGCTTTTTTTAATTGACCACAATCACTCTTAGTTACTGGCTATAATAGATATGCTCCTACCCCATGTGGAATTGGGTAGTGTACATCCCAAAGTAGTACAGGCAGCCATGATAACTTGGCCTCCAAAATTCCATAGGCTATATGAGGGGCTCCCTCAACCTAAATCTGTCCATGACAATTTGACATAGATTTCTCTCCCTAAAAGAAGTTGTTCATGTACACGTACGCTGTAGATAAGAAAACTCTGCACCCTTTCATATCCGTATGATAACTTGGGGTGTGATACCCAAGTTGTAAACAAATTGAAGTGCCCCTGAGATGCTACGCCCTTGACACTGATAGACATCTGCTTTTTGGAGAACCTGTGTTGCGGTTTCATCATGTTTCCTTCAATTTAAATTTAGCTGAACTGATTTTCAGAGTCACATGCACTGGGAGTGTTGCCCAGTGGATACACATGTAGGTTTGTGACTCATGATCAGAGGGTCAGGGGTTCAAGTCCAGTGGACGGTCATGCACTGTGTCCATAGGCAAGCAGCTTTACACCTATTTGTCCCTCTCCACCCAGGAAGTATAAATGGGTGCCAGCATTAGTTAGGGGTAACCTTTGAGGGACTATAACATCCTATCCAGGGGAAATAGAAATACTCTCACTCATGTACTGCCAAAGAAACTAGAGATAAATGTCAGCCTTCTTAGCCATATTTACAGTAGAAGTCTTGAACAAAACACATTTTTTTCAGACACCATCCTTTTTATATATTTTTACCCGTTTTTAAATATTCTACTTAAGATTCTGTGAAAGTTGTGATAATTTCCCAGCTAAATCCTTAACTTCCTGGCTCAACCTTGGCACTTCCTATTGATACGTGGACTATAATTAAAGGCAGATGCAAATTGGCACTGATTGGGTAGACATGAGAAGCCTGAGTGAAATTGTATTGGTTGCTAAACACACTGATGAATGAGTCTGCCTTCCATGTCATCTGATTGGTTAACTTTTCGTGAAAAAGTACATGCCGAAAGTACATGGCTTGAATTAAAAATAAGCTGTCCTCCCTCCATCAGATCCATCAGATTTGCTGACAAGAACGACCAATAGGGGGCAGTCACATCCACACCCCTCCTCATAATATCCTGATGCATGCATGGTCAATGACATTTTCTGTTCATCTTCAATCACTAATTTTGATAGACTAAAAACAGGTTACATGCCTGTCACAATTTCCCAGTCTCTCAGGAATGATACGTTAAGATTTCGGACCAAGGTCCTCAATTGTTTGCATTTACTCCTCACAACCAGAAATAGAAATATTCAGTACTCAAAGGTACTTCAAAAATTTCCCCGCAGAAACTTGGAATTTTTTTCTCTGTGAACTTAAAAAAGACCTCTTCATATTTCAAGTGGAAATAAAAATTCAGAACCGTTCACGAAAGAGCTCCCTTTTCAAAATTGCCTCCTCTTCAAAAAGCAGACTGAAAAACATGTTTACCAGACTATGTCTGACAAACTCCACACTACCCGAGTGTAGCATGATTCAGACACAGAATAAGAGGTGTGAGGCAATTTTTGCAAATCATGGTTGATGTATTTCTCTTGAGACAAATTTCCGGGCATACCGCAAGCCCCTAATCCTATAGTGCAGGGTCCATCCAATTGTTAGTGTCTGTTTTTTCTCACAAAAGACTTGGATAACAGGAAAATGTTGTGAGCTCGACAGAGTAATCTTCTGAAATTTAAAGAAACTGTCAGACTCTTAATCCTTTTATGATGCATTCCCTGTGCAATTTTTGAGTTTCATCCCGAAAAAAAAGAGCAAAATTGCTATTTTTTCTAGTAATATAAAGTTATTTACTTTTGAAATAGACATCGTCTGAAAAAGATTGGCCCACGTTTAGCTATTGAATGAATACTTTACTAGCGGCCCCAAAATAGTTCCGTTTTTCATGGAGTAAGATGGTTCCCACCTCACAATCAGTATCGATAACTGTCTACCCGCAAGACGGATCTGTCGTTGCCCAAAACAAAAAGTAAAAAAAGTAAACCAAAGAGCATGAAAAAAAAACCAAACAAACAAATACACTGCAATGTCTCAATGAAAGACAATCCCCTTGCTCGTGAACTTCAGCCAAGACTGTCGTTTCCCCCCACCGTAACGTTTCCACATTTAGAAAAAGGTGGTTTTTATTGCTTAGTAGCTGTCAATTGCTACCAGGTTTTACTTTGGGACAGTTAGACAACTTCTCAAATTATTCTTGGCATATCGGATGCTAGTAGACACAGGTGACACAGTGGGGAATTCCTTTGCCTGCTGTTTGAAGCAGGATTCAGTTTCGTCGAATTTCAAAAAGGAAACAATTCTTTACAATGCCTCTGGTATTTTTTTCTTTCCATTCAATCAACTTCACAATGCACATTGCGCAAACACATGGTCAAAAACATTGGTTTAGCTGAACTAAACCAATGAATTTTGGAGACTAAATCCATTAGTACCTGTAATACATTGTATTTAATCCCTGATTACTCCATAAAACCATAAGGCGGTTGCAGGCAGTATACAGGGAGCAACAGGTAGGGCGCAGTTGTAGGCAGTATGGTTGTAGGCAGTATAGTTGTAGGCAGTATGGTTGTAGCTTGGCAGTATGGTTGTAGGCAACATGGTTGTAGGCAACATGGTTGTAGGCAACATGGTTGTAGGCAACATGGTTGTAGGCAACATGGTTGTGGTTGTAGGCAACATGGTTGTGGTTGTAGGCAACATGGTTGTGGTTGTATAGGCAACACGGTTGTAGGCAACATGGTTGTAGGCAGTATGGTTGTATCTACAGGCAGTATGGTTGTATAGGCAGTATGGCTGTATAGGCAGTATGGTTGTAGGTAGTGTGGTTGTATGCAGTATGGTTCTAGGCAGTACAGTTGTAGGCAAGGATTAATTGGTTGAATTACAAAACAGACACTTATGTTTTTTCTAATTCTATCAACACTCTACACTCAAAATCTTATCTTACATCTAAAAGTTCAAATGACGGCACTTCAAATGACAGCTCACTGGATACTCATTTGATATTTTTAGAAGACCATTAAAATGTCTAGTATTTGCCTCAAAATGTAGCGTGTAATCCAGCATGAAAAGCTTCACTAGCTGTCTCTTTTTGAATTTCTTTCTTTCACAGGCATTTTCAAGTTATTATTCACTGGATTGTTTTTCAGTTGAAAGGTGCCAGTCCATTTATTGCCCAAGGGATTTTTGCGGGTATCAAATTGACTAATTTTATCAGACCTCGGAGACCAAGATAAAAGTTCGTAATCGTTTTATGGCTATTTTCCCCAGCTTTTTCTGATATTGAGCAGATGCGTATCAAATTAAGTATTTAAAACGTTTGGACATTTCCAGATGAAATGAATATCTACGAATTCGCTGCAGGGGAAAAATCTTGAAGACCATTTTTTTTTGGCAAAAAGTTTACTCCAAGGGCACAGCCATATGGCAGACTTTGTTTTGAATGTATTCTTTAGCTAATTCAATTTCCAAACTGTGGAAATGTTCAGACAAAGACATTTCATTGGCAGCTACATGTTACTATGTGATCCATCATATTTGGCTTTAAAGGCCATCGGTTGCCATGCATGCTGTGCACTAAAAGGAAATGTTTCCCATCATTGATTGATTTTCAAAATACAAATATTAAACCCATATAAAAATTTGAATAGGTTTTTCACTTCAAGTTATTGCCTTAGGGCTCAGTACTGTCCAAACCTGCCCTGCCTGTTACTTCATGTACTGATCAGCACTGTATGGATTCATCAGGGAATAAATACAATGTAATACAATGTAATACAATGTAATACAATGTAAGACAATGTAATACAATGTAATACAATGTAATACAATGTAAGACAATGTAATACAATGTAATACAACGTAGTACAATGTAAGACAATGTAATACAATGTAATACAACGTAGTACAAATTCCAATGGGTTAACTCACAGGTATCACTAATGAAACTATACCAAAAATG